GCTGAGGCTGAGGCTGAGGCCGATGCAGGCTGAGGCTGAGGCAGGCTGAGGCTGAGGCCAAGGCTGAAGGCAGACTGAGGCTGAGGCTGAGGCAGGCTGAGGCTGAGGCTGAGGCAGGCTGAGGCTGAGGCAGGCTGAGGCTGAGGCTGAGGCTGATGCAGGCTGAGGCTGAGGCAGGCTGAGGCTGAGGCCGAGGCTGAAGGCAGACTGAGGCTGAGGCTGAAGCAGGCCGAGGCTGAGGCTGAGGCAGGCTGAGGCTGAGGCAGGCTGAGGCTGAGGCTGAGGCAGGCTGTGGCTGAGGCTGAGGCTGTGACTGCGACTGCCGTTGCCACTGCGAGTGTCATCGCGAATGCGACTACGACTGCGAGAAGAGCAGAATTATACAACTGGATTCTCATCTGAATCTTAAGGGGAATGCTTCCAGATATGCTCCTACACAACGCTGTTAGGTTGCTTTGCCGGGATAATTTGAGCAGGGACCGACCGTCCCGGCATTCCTATAGTCCTACCACGAAATGTTCTTAGTACCCAATAATGTTCTACTAACAAAAACAATGTTCTTCGAACACAACCCCCACGCGATAAACCAAGACAATCTCCGCCAGAAATGTTCTAAGAACATTTCGTGGGAACCACAAAAGGTTCTTAGAACATTGTTTGGTGGGGCTATAGGCGAGCCAGGACGCTTCGCCACTGCTTGAATATGGACTTCCGCCGGCTTCCGCCAACCTTCCGCCGCCATCCGCCGGCTTCCGCCGGCGGAGGCGGCCTCGGTTTACTTCCGCCGACCTTCCGCCGCCCTCCCGCCGCCTTCCGCCGAGGAGGAGATGGCAGCTCCTTCGACTCTCGAAGGCAACGCCCTTTCTGGAACGCCTCAAATGTCTGCGCCTCAAGTCTGCGAAGCCGCTCCGCGGGGCCCCCCCCTTGTGCGCCGGCGCCAGGCTGGGGCTGGGGCACGCGCGGGCGGTGGAGGCCCCCTCTGGCGCTCCCGAGGGCGAGCAGAGCCACACCGGCCAGGGAAGGGCACATCCTCCTCCTCGTGCTCCTCCTCGTGCTCCTCCTCGTGCTACTCCTCGTCCTCCTCCTCCTCCTTTTCCTCCTTTTCCTCCTCCTGCTCCTGCTCCTCCTCCTCCTCCTCCTCCTCCTCCTCCTCCTCCTTCTCCTCCTCCTCCTCCCCCTCCCCCTTCCCCTCCTCCTCCTACCTCCTCCTCCTCTCCTCCTCCTCCTCGCATCCACGTCTCGCTCCTCCACCTCCTCCTCCCCTCACACCTCCTCTCCTCCTCCTCCTGCCCTCCTCCTCGTCCCTACTCACCTCGTCCAACTCCTTCGCCTGCTCCCCCTCCTCTTCCTCCTCCTCCTCCCTCCTCCTCGTCCTCGTCCTCATCCTCCATCTATCGTTATCCACATTCCTCCTCCTCCTCATGATGATTGATGGTGATGCTCATCATCATCATCATCATCAAAGCAACATCATCAATCGTCATCATCATCATCCACATCATCATCATCAGCATCATCCTCATCATCATCATCATCATCACCATCATCACCAACACCATCACCATCACCATCACCATCACCATCACCATCACCATCATCAGCATCAGCATCAGCATCAGCATCAGCATCAGCAGCAGCATCAGCATCAGCATCAGCATCATCATCATCAGCATCATCATCGTCATCGTCATGATCATGATCATCATCATGATCATCATCATCCCTCTCCTCCTCCTCCTCCTCCTCCTCGCTCCTCCTCCTCCTCCTCCTCCTCCTCTTCCACTTCCTTTTCCTCTTCCTCCCTCCCCTCCTCCTCCTCCTCTTCCTCCTCCTCCTCGTCCTCCTCCTCGCCTCCTCCTCATACCTCCTTCCTCCTTCTCCTCCTCCACATTTCTCCTCATCATCCCCCTCCTCCACCCCCTCCTCCACCCCATCGTCCTCCCTCCTGCTCCTCCACCTTCCTCCTCCTCCTCGTCCTCCTCCTCCTCCTCCTCCTCCTCTCCCTCCTCCCTTTCCTCCTCCTCGACCTCCGCAACATTCTAGTTGATTCGCGGCATTGGCACGGCGTACAGACAAGAAGCTGCCTCAGAGGATCGGTCAATGAGGAACGGAGTTTCTTTTTGGCCCGAGAGGCACCTAACGGACCCAAGGAACAACGAGCGCTTCCGAACCCGAGCTGTTCTTGATCTCCACGTCTTGGAGGGCGGTGGGGAACAACCCAAGACGGACCCAAGGAACAGCGAGAGCTTCCGAACCCGAGCTGGTCTTGATCTCCACGTCTTGGAGGGCGGTGGGGAACAACCCCAGACGGACCCAAGGAACAGCGAGCGCTTCCGAACCCGAACTGGTTTTGATCTCCACGTCTTATAGGAATACACGTCGTTCTGAAGAAGTAGGTAGAAACATTAAGTATGAAGGCGGATAAGTAGATTGGGTTCAGGTCCTCCCAGGGAACAACAACACACAGCAAACGCATTTCGAAACTTGGCAGCAAAAAGGCGCTTCACATAGATTAGGACCTTTGAATTCAAATACGCATACTTTCAACGACCGGTGTGTACGCCCTCGAGACCGATGCCATGAAAATCTACACGGGCAAGGACGTACCGTGACGACTGGCGCGGTGGATTCTGCCAGCGCGTGGACCTTTTCACATTGAACGATCGCGGACTTCCGAGTCGTTCGATGCCCACTTCGGGGGGCCCCTTCTCATTCTCCTCCTCGAACCCCCCCACGCCTCTCCAGGATTCCGAGCCACTTGCGGGGTTCCGCCTGGAACGCCCGCGCTGGGGCCGCCGCCGCGCCGCCAGGACACGAACCTGCCGTGCACACCGCTACCGTTCCCTCCCACGGCCAGCCTGAGCCCTGGCATGACTTTTCTTTGATCTGCAGGGCGAGAGCGAGCCTCTTCCGCTAAAAGCTCCGCGGGACGCGCATAGCTGTAGTTGACAGAGAGGGGGCGAGGGCGGGCGGGGCCTCACGCGGCCGAGAGCGGGCGGAGCCCGGGGATCAGGCGGTGCCGAACGGGACGTGCAGGAAAAAAACACCTTGGACAGGAGCCCGGTGGTGAAGGCCGAACTATCCGGGGTAATTCGGGCCTGGGGCAACTCGGGTTCGGATTCCCGAAAACCGAACCCGAGTTAGCCCTGACCCGAGCTAATTACCCTTGATGATTCGGGGCTCTGAATAGGGGCTCGCCTGTTCTAAGCACCTGGGCCGTGTCTTCGGTCCGGAGAGGATTAAAAGTCGTCTGTCCAAGAAACATATTACAAGACAAGGTTTCGCAACACGGAAATTCAAAACATGCGTACGCGCGCGCTCTTGCGATTTGTTTTAACGAACCATATGTTTCTCATCATTTCCAAAAAAAATACTACCAAACGGGCTTCGCGCGCGCGTGTCAAAACCGTTCGAACGCCCTTGCGCGCGTACCGTCGCGAGAACTCTTTTCGGGTCGGGCGAAAGGGGGGGATAGCAAAGGGGGGGTTTGAGAATCAGCTCACGTAGCTGATTTTCCCGGCGCCTCCCGGCGCCGGAGGCGGCTATGTATCGAGGAATGGGCCCTCGGTGAGGCCGAAACCAGCTGCATGCAGCAAATTTCGTAACCCCCCCTTTCCCAATCCCCCCCTTTCGCCCGACCCGATCTTTTGCAACAAAAACAAGGCGGATCTCACACGCGCGCTTAGTCGCGCGCGCCAGCCAAAATCCTTCAACAACACTTTGGTTTTTCGGATGGGCTTCAAAACCAAATGTCTAGACAACATGCAAAAACAAACGGTTTCGCAACATCAATTTTCAAAAACGCGTGCGCTCGCGATCT